GTAAACACAGCTGACCACGTGACCACTCAAAACTGACGTGGGCGCAGCGCGCGAGAGTGCGCGAGCGGGCGCTGCATTGAAAACCAGCACAGCGAGCGCACGCAAAGCCGCCAGCACGGAGCAGAAGCAGAAAGCCAACGCAAAATCGAGACTTGCATGTGTTCATTTATATTACCGCCGCGTCAAGTCGGCATGGCGAGGCACTCCGCTTATCGCTCATTCGTGCGGCATGCACTTTCACTTTGATTAGAAACATTTTCCACGCTATCTTTGTCCTTGATATTTCGTAGATATGTATGCCTGCGCATAAATATATCTCGCTCATTATCTCATCTTCGAAACCTTGCCAGCGCTCCTTTGATTGTCACTGTGCATCTGAATTTCTTTCGTGTCAGGACCCTCCGGTATTAGGAATGAATGAATGAACAGATGAATGAATGAATGAATGAATGAATGAATGTTCATAAAGAGAACCCTGGAAATAACTTAAGGTTCCCCGATGTCGATAGAGTTTTTAGGACGAGCTCTCTTCGTTTTGTGAGTGTGTTTGACAAGCAATAATATAGCAAGTATATTTGCAAAAGTACTCTGAATACAGCCAGCTGTGCAATGATGTCTTTGAAAGCTGGCCATCCCGTGTTTTTCACGTTTGTGTCTTGCCTTGTGGCGGTTGGTTGGTCAAAAGCAAAATGGCGATTATGCAGCGCACTATTGATTGGCTCCTGTCAAGTTGCGAAAGGGTAGCACAGCCAGATACCGCGCCAAGTTACATCGTGAGCTTACCTGTTCGAATCCTAGAATCATACGTACTGTTTACTCTACAGTATACAGCGTGGTGCAGTGTGGCGTTAATGCAAACGCTGCACGAAGAGCAGCGGCTCATTTCGCTTACTACGAATCGTTTTTTTTTAATTATTTGAAGTTAGTAAAAGCAACATCCCCATGCGCTACAGGACTACCAATACGATTCGAAAACGGTGTTATCCCAACATGGTAGAACATTCTATATATAGTTCCCGTTCAAAATGTATTTATTTAAGAAGAAAAAAACCCACTCCCACTGAAGTTGTAATTTTGACGCAAAAACATTCACTACAAGAAGAAATCAACGCACTTGATCGCCACCTTTTAGGAACAGGAGTATTGCAACTGGTGCCACGTATAAAAAATGCTATAATCCGACAGTCCTCGTTGATCTCCTTAAAGTCCGTGCAGGGGAATTAAGGAGATCAAATGAAGTGCAAGCAATGAACTTCCAATTTTTTAAATAAAAATTTATTATTGAAAACGTTCTTCATTCCTTTTCACCTGTTGTCTTGTCTATAATTGGCTTAATACTTGTTTAGTACTTGTCATATGCCGTTTCTGATATCTAAGCTTTGTGATTACCAGTTTGCTTTCTAACCCAGCTATGCACCGCATTCGTTGCAATGATGTTAGAACAAGTTTCCACCGATCAAGTTTCTTTTATTGCAAAGATTGCCTTGTGCATAACAATTTACATAAGGCTATCAAGAGGCTCATCACACATAAACAAGCCAGCTGAATTCAGGCTAAACAAATAAGCATTAAGCACATGTCGATGTTTATGAGTCCACACTTTTGAGTCCGAAAAGTGGTCTGAGGCGGCAGAGAGTTGTCCTAGGCATTTCGGTTTATGGCGCTGAATTTATAATTATGAGTGTGTGTTGGCAACAATTATTCGGGTATCTTAAGGATAACTAAGACCACCAAGCACAGGTGAATGGGGAACGTATTATTTGTGGTTGTCAGCGGCTATTGTAAACTTTTTGCTTTTGGGACTAGAAAGTGCTATTCTTGTTAGCATGACATCCCTCGAATTCACTTTTGCAGCACGAGCTATTATGAGATCATGACAAGGGTGCCATAGTTGTCCGCCGCCCCCGGTGTCTGTAACCATTATCGCTCAAAATAAGAGAAAAAAAAAGACCAAATGAAAATTACAGTATAGAACGAATTTCAAAGATGGGTCATCTCCATGGCACCCCTTGTTCTATTACAGAGCTATGCCGGTATTTTCTTTATCTTTGAAAGAAAGAAAGTTGAAATTTATTTCACCACAACGATACACCGTGATTTACACAAACAAGAAACAATTGTGGCATGGAAAGTAGGAAAAAAGCTGCGCTATAGCAGCTTGACTAGCCCCACCTCCCATTTGTACAAGGCAACAGAAACAATGGCACACCAAACTCCATACGGTGCTCACGTATGATTGAAAGAAAAAAGAAAAGAAAATAACATTCTAGTGGTTGTTTATGAAGTACAGAATAGATGCACACTTGGGTGTTTACAAACAACTATTGGGAAAAAAGGCAACCAAAATAAGACGCTATAACAGAAAGGGGTACACTTACAATTTCATGCATTGTGGTGGTGCTTCAATTTCTAACACTACAAATTTTCTACAATTGCTCTATGTACACTGTCATCCTTTAGGAAATGGAACGCGCGAACGCGTAGCCTCTGCTCTGCATGCGGTGGCTTCCTACAGCACCATCCATCGACAGAAAAAGGAAACACGTTCGCTTTCAATAAATAATAATGAGTTATGGCCGGTAGACAAGCACTGCTATAGATTGCACTCTCTCTCTGCTCACGCCTGCAGTGATGCGTAGTTCACTGCCAACATATAAAACGTTGTTCGCGACCACGGTGCAATCTGCAATAATCGCCCGATATGGCTGGCTGCGCGGGCGATCAGAGAACGCAATCTAGCAGCGCTTGTCTACCGGCCATAACTCATTATCTTGCTTGGTCATAGATGACGCGAAAAACGAATGTGCTTTCTTCACTTGTCGGTTGATGGTGCTGTAGGCAGTGGCCGCTGAGCGCAGGCCACGCGTTCGCGTGTTCCCTTTTCATAAAAAACGACAGTGTACAATAGTGATTCCATGAGTGGTACCCAATCGGGCATACACTTTTGCATCGTTTGCGTTTTCGGAAATAAAGTTAAGGACTGTCGAAAGTATTCTATAGCTCGTCGAGCATCGACATCGGCATCACGTATAGACATGCGTGAGCTCCAAATACTGTTCAGAGCTAATAACACGACGGTGTCCTACGGAAATTCATCATCGTTTTCAATGACCAGATACCTTATTTTTGTGAGATGGCCAGGAAAGTACATTAAAGAAAGATTTGTTTAACAACCTATACAAACGTTATGTCGGGAAGGAACCATGCGAACACGTGTAGAAGTAAGTAGCCTGGTAGAAAAGTCAAATAACAGCCAGATGTCACACAATCGGGATCCTGTAACCAGGCATCATAGAATACAAATTCCGTTACGAGTGGCTCTTTGAATGCTTGAAACTTCTTTGAAAGGGCTCAGCCATGATTTTCTAGAGTCGTCGACCACCGCACCAATTTATGGCGTAGTGGAGACTTAGCGAGCGCACTTGTATTAGTTGCCCCTGGAGAGTCTATACGACAGGCTGTATAGAAATGCCGCTCTTCCAGCTTTCGCTGTAATATAGTGTTCGGTTTTCCGCGCAGAGCTGCGTTTCTTTCTTTCTTGATTGAATTGCTGCTAAGCCAGTACGTTCTTCATCCGCTGAGCCGACCTGCATTTGCATGTCGCTCAGCAATAGAAAGTGTGTCATCCTAGTTGAAATTCGTTCCCGTTTGAAAATGTTCATTAACAATCCAAAAAGCGCTGAGTAAATCAATATCTTCCCGAGAAGTCACTTTACCAGGACAGTGATTGCCAAGACAGTAGCAGAGCTTTCAATGAAGCGTCAGAAAATGTTCTTCCTAAATACTTGCATAATTTTCACGTTATATAGCTGTACTTAAGAATAAATTGAGAGGAACATAAGTGAACTGAAAAAAAAAGTATATGAGTGGGTATATTCAGTCATGTAATGTCTATGTCCATGGCTAGTACGCTTCCATTTATATATAACTTTAAAAAGTGTCATATTGGTATAGTTTGGAGTTACGACTTATAACTTAAAATAAAGGATTGCCCAGAAAAGCATGTGTCACAAGTAATATAAAAATGGGATTGCTTGCATCCGGCCAGCACGTACAACTTATATATTTTTGCAAAGGTTTATTTGTATAATAAATATGTACGTGCTTTATAAGAAATAGCGAAATTTAATGTCCCGTCACAGTTACTGAAGATCGAGCACTTTGCGTGCTTAGTTTAGAGTGCAAAAAGTTCGCAGCTAAGTATTATTAATCGCTATTCTGATATCTATATAAGAAATCAGGTTACCATCAATTGCAGGAAGAAATTTAGAGAGATAGAGTTGTTTTCAAAATAGCACTAGGATGGCCTTCGGTTATGTGTAGATGATAGCGCGCTAACCTCCAATCACTTCAAAACGAGACGATAAACACACGCCAACCATCATTTATCTCTTGCGGCGATTATGTTCAGTCTTCCTACTATACCGGCTGGAGTTAGCGGAGGCCATACCTACGAATGCACAAGCTCCACCGGTAGGAAGAAAGCAATAAACAGCGTCTGGTGGAACTGCTTGGCGGGAACGCACTGCGGACGCAGCAATAACTGGAAATATACGGCCTACGAAGACGAAAAATCAACGGGCGGAGGGTGTCCTTGAACAACGAAACCGAAAGTGAACCGCTGAGCGGAGGCGGTCGATTTCTTTCGCGAGAACAGGAAGCAAGAAAAAAAAAAATACTCGGAGGTCCTACCAACTCCGCTCGATGCGAGCCCCAGAGAAGGCCAAGCAAGTATATAATGCACCACTCGCGGTGCCACCGGTCCGCGTTAACTGGCGGCTGTTCTTCGCCGTCGTTGTTGCCGCCTTGCAGCGGCCGTCTCAAATCGCGGAGCTCCTCCCGATAGTTCCAGTCCTTCGAGAGAGAACAACAGCAACAGGCGCGCAGCAGAACACGAGCACGCCGCAGGAAGCGGTGGTGCCTGTCGCGCTCGCCATCCGCCGGGAGCGCTGCGGGCGCTTGGCGCGTGTGTGCGGCTGCAGTGCGCCTGCGTCGCCGGCAGGCAGGCCGCCGCAGGAACAGCAGCGAGCAAACAGCGCGCGGTCGCTGCGTCTTGCCGTGTTCGACGGCGCATCCGCAGCCTGTGTGTGTGCCGTGCGTGCGTGTGTGTTTCGTGTTGCGTGCGGCCTCTCCGTAGACAGCCAGCTCGGCGCGAGCAAGGTCGGCCCCCCTGCGTGCTGCACACCGAATCAACATCGGCCATGGGAGACGACGGAGGCGGCGGCGCCGACGAGCAGCTGTCCGAGCAGTTCACCTCAGGATTCCGACTGCGAGCGCGCAAGGGCGCTCTCAAAAAGAAGAACGTCTTCGAAGTGAAGGACCACAAGTTCATACCGCGCTTCTTCAAGCAGCCAACGTTCTGCTCGCATTGCAAGGATTTCATCTGGTGAGCCCTCTTCCCTTTCGTCTCGAACGCGCCGCCAAGACCGCGAGCGACGGGTCCTCTCTCCGTACCCTTTCCGGGGCCTCGCGGAAACCCGTAAAAAAAAACACGCACTCGGGGAGAGCAGCAGCGAGCTAGCGAGACGTTTTCTCGGAGTCCTTGGCCTCGGGCGGCCCGCTCTTGTCGAACCAGAGTCGTCCTTTGCGGCTTTTGACAGCGCGCACGAGGAAAACACGCCGCTCGCGTTCCAGCGCGATAGTTGGTCGCGCGCGTCAACGACCAAGTCTCGCCGCTAATTCTTCGGCCCGGATGCCTGCTTCTCCCTCGTCTCGCATGAGTTCCGATAGGAAGGTGGTGTTCCAATGTGCCTGGTTTTGGTTGTAGACGTTTCATGCGAGCTCATGCGAGCGGGCACGTCGGCCTGCCTTTCCTCGTGTTGCGCCGATTTGAAAACTGCCTGCCAGGTGAGGGGAACGCCCATTCGCGGCAACCGCGCTGCGAAAAAACGTGCGAGCAGCGCCGTTTCCTTTTCGCGGGTAATTTCGACGTGCGCGACACTGCGCTGCTGCTACGGGTTCGCGTGTCTTCACAGTGATTTTATTTTGGTAAATGTGCCGTTTAGGGGCACCGCATGGATGGCTAGTAGGATGACCTGTTGCCGAAAGCTCTTAAAGAAGCGATACAGCCACTGTCGCTGACAGCAGACCTATAATTTAATGCCTTATTGACGTAGTTTCTTCGGAGTTGATCAGGGGGGCTCCGCATACTTATCACAATGTTTTTTTTTTTCGTTTTTATGGTGGCTTGAAGTTTTCTTCGCTGTGGGAGTCGCCTGGCTGGCTTCCAAATGGCGTGCCATGAACATACCTTCCTCGGTGTTCGGCGAGTGTGTTCGGAACGTCTTTGCAGTGTTCCGCGAAGATACATCAGTTCTCCGTCTCTCGTGGTAAATGAGGATTCTTTCTCAAAATAAACTGCACGATGTAAGCGTACCACCGCTGAACCCTCCGGAACAATCCAACAAAGAGAGAGAGAACACGCTAGTGTTTTCAATTTTGATGTAAAACACACCCGTAGGAATGCACAACTCCCCCTTTCCGTAAATGAAATCCCTATTAACGCACTCCAGCTAATTATACGGTTTGCACAGCCGCAAAAGCTGCTGAAGTTATACTTCTTTGCTATGCAATGTATTGCTGTGCTATGCTGCGCATAAGCCTTAGCTGCTTTTGCGCCATGAAATAACGAATTGGCTAATATACTGTTGCCACATGAACATGAATAATCGTAGAAATGTCTCTAGCTTCGAAATGACTTAACTCGTATTACGCATTCCTTATTGACGCTGTACTGAGTTATTAGGATACCTGTTGGCTTGATATGTACCACAGGCATATTATTGTCTGATTATACAGTGCACCTTCATATTTGGAAAACATCCATCCAAATTCTGATCTTTTTGTCGCTTTCGCTGTTTCGTTTGCTATACCTCCGCTTTCTGATTTATTTACAATACATCGTTGTAAAGCAATGTTGTATTATATATATATGAAAATTGTACCGGTGTATTCAGCTGTGAGATTTATTGTGAAAGTATGTGCTAAGCAAGCCAGAAATAGGATTCGTCCTAAATTTTTACCCTAAGGAAGCCATGTAGCGTGTCAGCTGTTATGTTATTACAGCAAAAAAGAAAATGGTTTTGCCAAAACGCGCTTAACACTAATGTTGTAGCTGAGCATCTCCAACAGGTCATCGTGTTATTGAAGTTCTCCCGTCTCGAAACAATCAGGGCACCGGCAGTAAATCGTCACACTCTATGTAGAATGTGAGTTTCGCTGTTTTCCCGACAAGTTGGAGCAAAACGTAGATGTTAACTTGAGGCTTTTTTATTATCGGTCTTTTTTCCGAAATTCACTTGCTCCCTCAAATGCAGCTATATGGCCGGCGGTTGAATCAGCGTCACTGTATGTCTCGTGAAACTTTTCGCGTTACAGATGCGGCACTTCGTTAGCAGCTTTTAAAACCCTCAACCTTCGTCTGGGAGATTGGTGTTTAATTGCCAATTTACAAATGATAACATTGACAACGTCGGCGCTACTGTCTTTTTTCAATCTATCGCGTTTTTAGATCTACGGAAAAAGGGTCCAGCAGAATAGGGTTACCCTTAAGAACTGTGGTGAGTTAAAAACGTTGCGAGCTAGCGCTCAGGCCCTGCGGCATAAGAATAATCGAAAGAAAGATCACCATGGGAAAATGGTCAAAACTATGTCAACGGAAAGTACAAGCACACCACTTGTGAGACTGAAAGCCGTGGAGGTTAGCGAATCGACACACCACCTGGGAGCAGGGACAAATATCGCACCAAACCGATGCAGTCTTCGTTGTCAGTGCTGGAGTTACCGCTGCAAGAATTAGGTGAATTAAAGGGCTACAGTGTCATCTTTGGAGCGTAAGCCACGAATGCAAGCCCACCGTTAGTTACATCAAGCATGCGGTCTTTTGCTACGAAAATTACTAGATAATGCCACTTGGTTCAGTTTATTCGGTGACAGGGACACGACAATTTGCTGATCTCCGGTGATTTGAAGAAAGTCGTGTCATTCTGGCACAGAGACTATACGGAGAGTTTTGAAACTTCTTAACTGGGGTATGCTGATGTCAACGCAGGTGAAACGTAGTGGTAAACACTCATGCGAAGATAAGTCGGCAACATCGAGCGGGCGCCATCGTTGGATGGCTATTGTTTCTCAACAAGAACTTACGACCTTTGTGAATCGAAGCATTACGGAAGGACCAGTTTAAGAATCTCTACAGCGCATTATAGTACTCACGGTAGGAATGATGAGGAGTTAGGGTCATTTCCCTATGGTTTGGTTTCACACGTAGTACGCGGCCTGTTCAGTTGAAACGAGCGACTTCGTGAGGGACATATATGTATATTTTTACATTATGTTCTCTTGTTCTTGTAGCGAACGTAGGAAATCTTGGAATGTATGCTACGTTATACCGCAGAAGATAGAGAAGAGGAAGGCCGGAAGGTTAGCCAGATATTGGCATCCGGTTTGCTACCCAGCACTGGGGGTGGGGTAATAGGGGCCAGAAAGAGGGGGCAGAGAAGAGAGAAAAGGAGAAACAAACGCACGTGCACTCTGGAGAAAACAAAAACACAGGAAGGGCGTTCTTTTTACTAGCGTTCAGAAATGCTGGTCGATCGCAAAAAGCGTATAGCGCTTGCAAAACCTTCAGTGACGTTGCGTCCTGGCGACATTGTAAAATTCTTTCCTCCGACACACGCCATCATGTTGCTTACACTTTGAAGATGTTCATATTTGCCAGAATCATACAGGAAAGTGCAGTTAGCATGCTAAGCGCAATATAAATTTTGGTTTTCTGGTCCAAGCATGGTTTTAAGTTCAGCACTATACCTCTGAAATTTTGCATGAAAAATTGTTCATATGCTTATGGGTCAACATTTAGCGGACGTAATGGAAATAGCGGGATATTTTATAAACGAAGGCAGAAGAAACGACACGGAGGAGTGCTTACTTGCAACTGAAATTTTATTGCAAACGAAAACAATACATGTTAGGGGAAAATTTATAACAAAATTGAAGTATGACAATATTTCGCGGCGGAATCACACCGGTTCTTCCAGATATGACAATTCTTTCCGCGACAGAGAAATGCATGGCCGATACATGATGAGCCGTCTTGCGTTATATGGGCGATGCTCTTTATTTCGTGAGTGCGTTTGTCTTGATGTCTAGCGTACGTGTCTGCACTTGAGATATTTTTTTTGGTCACTTGATTAGTTGAAGTAATGCCACTATCGTAACCTGGCATATCGTGTTCCGTGGTATCGTTGATATTTACCTTGCAGTATTTGCCGCTGCAACCGATGGTGAAGAAATGTACGGAAAAAAAAAGTCAATTTCCTATTGGCCCTTTAGTAAACATTATACACATACTCATGTCTGATCACTGCGATATGCTGTTGCTATAGGTGTGATCAAATCGTAGATTGTGTGAGGCACCACTAGGAACCGTACTATATGACCTTGATCTGGCATTTTTGCTTAAATGAGGTTACTTCGTTTGCTCATTCACTCACGCAATCTCCAACTCGCACACAGCGATAGACCAGTCTCTTTTAGGCTACGTCGCTGAGCTCCGAGTTCTAGGTCTGGTTCTTAGCCGGTCTGAAATGCGTGTACTTCGATCGTATACGCATGCGCTGGGTTCTCCAATGGGGTAGGAGGTACAATGGCTTAATTCCGTCCCGCTCACCCAAGACAACAATACTGTGCGGTCACAACAATGTAGATTAAACACCGTACAGGTCCGACTGGGTGAAGATATCGGGCACAGTTGGGGCCCCTCTGCCTTCCCCCTATCCGGTCAGTGTGGGGGAGGGGCAGATGGTCACACCCCTGCCCTAGTGCGCACACTAATGACATCGATATAGCAACTCGATGAAGAATCAATGGGAGGTTAATTTTAAGTCCCCTTCATCTGGCACACCATCGCGGAATGAAGTCGTGCTTTTGACGCGCGAAACAGTACGATATAAGGTAATATGCGAATTAGCGTGACTGCATCGCAACAGTCACGTGTCATAGTCGCGGGTTCGATGTCAAGCAACGCGGATAGAGTTTGAGCGCAATGTTAGGGAGCGCTAGCGTAATAAATCAATTCCTAACGCGCCGGTGGCAGATGTCCCAGCTCTTGGTAGCTGCGCCACGCTGTCTCATCAATTATTATTAAATCACCGAGTGCAGCCTGCCGCTTTGCCGGGTCTCGAACGATTGCCGCCACGCGCTGGGCACTTTGAAAAACATGATCGATGCGTTCGGGGCGGTACACGACGCCGCTTGCAGTCGAGTGTCTCTGATCGGCTGCTTAGACTGACTAGGAGCTTCCTTGAACGCCCACTGAAATACGCTGCAACGTCGGGGGAAGACTCAGGTTTGCGGCGTGGCGACCCACATCCGAGATGGTGTAGT